CCCAGCCACTGCAGCCTCGACCTGCTGGGCTCTGGCGATCCTTCTGCCTCAGCCTTCTGAGTAGCCGGAACTACAGGCACGCGCTACCACACCCTGCTGATTTTTTGATTTATTGTAGAGATGAGGTCTTGCTGCCCAGGTGGGTCTCGAACCCGCGGGCTCAGGCAATCCACTCACCTCAACCTCCCAAAGGTGCGGGATTACAGGCTGAGCCACCAAGCCCGACTCAAAGTTTTAATTTTAATTTTAATTTTTTTTTTTTGAGTTGGAGTCTCACTCTGTCGCCCAGACTGGAGTGCAGTGGCCGCTCCCGGCCACCGCAGCCTTGACCTGCTGGGCTCCGGTGATCCTTCCGCCTCAGCCTTCCAAGTAGCCAGAATTACAGGCGTGCACTACCACGCCTGGCTGATTTTTTGATTTATTGTAGAGATGAGGTCTCGTTGCCCAGGCGGGTCTCGAACCCGCGGGCTCAGGCAATCCACTCACCTCAGCCTCCCAAAGGCACGAGATTACAGGCTGAGCCACTGAGCCCAGCTAATTTTTTAATTTTTTTTTTTTTTTTGAGTTGGAGTCTCACTCTGTCCCCCAGACTGGAGTACAGTGGCACGCTCCTGGCCACCGCAGCCTCGCCCTGTTGGGCTCTGGTGATCCTTCCGCCTCAGCCCTCCAAGGAGCTGGAACTACAGGTGCACGCTACCATGCCCGGTTAATTTTTTTGATTTATTGTAGAGATGAGGTCTCACCAATTTGCCCAGGCGGGTCTTGAACCTGCGGGCTCAGGCAATCCATTCACCTTGGCCTCCCAAAGTGCGGAATTACAGGCTGAGCCACTGAGTTCGGCCAAGTTTTAATTTTTATAAATTTTAAGAAACATTAGGCTGGGCGCAGTGGCTCATGCCTGTAATCCCAGCACTTTGGGAAGCCAGGGTGGGAAGATTGCTTGAGTCCAGGAGTTTGAGTCCAGCTTGGGCAACATAGCAAGACTTCATCTCTATAAAAAATTAAACAATTAGCCAGGTCTGGTGGTGCATGCCTATAGTCCCAGCTACTCAGGAGACTGAGGTAGAAGGATCGCCTGAGCCCAGATGGTCGAGGCTGCATTGAGCTGTGATGGTGCCACTGTACTCCAGCCTGGGCTACAGAGTGAGACTTCAATTCAGGGGAAAAAAAGTATTTTTTTTAACTTTGAAGGCTTTTTAATAAGCCTGTCAGATTTGCTGCTATCAGAGAATATAAATTTAGAAACTCAAGCAATTTATCTTTAGTTTAGTTATTGGGTGTGAAATAAAGGCACCACCTACCAGGGAAGGTTTCTTTTTCCCAGAAACTTTTATTATAGGATGAGGTTTGACAGACTTTTTCTGTAAAGGCCAGATAGTAAATATTTTCTACTTTGCAAACCTGGATTTACTCTGTGTTTCATGTGCTCAATTTTGCTTGTATAGTGCAAAAGCATCCATGGACAGTGTGTAAATCAGTGAGTATGGCTGTGTTCCAATAAAAGTTCATTTACTAAAATAGGTGGTGAGCTGGATTTGGCCACTCCTAGTTGTAGGGGATACATCTATGTAAAAGCTAGAGGATTTTTTTAAAAGTCAGGTTCCTTGCCAGGTACTGAATTTGTTTTGCAACCTAGCAAGGCACTTAGTCTGTCTGTGCCTTAGTTTTTCTACCAGTAAAATATATAACCACCTACTTTTGTCATCATAGTCTACAAGTATCCATCAAAAACTCCCCAGGTATGGCACCCATACAAATAATTCATTCAACCAGTAGTTAGTCAGTACCTACTCTGCCAGGAACTGGGTGTCCAATGGTAAGGTAAGCACAGCATTCATGCACCCATAAGAATCCTTATTGCACCGGGCTCAGTGGCTCAGCCTGTAATTCTGTGCTTTGGGAGGCTGACGTGAGTGGATTGCCTGAACCCGCGGGTTCGAGACCCGCCTGGGCAACTCGGCGAAACCTTATCTCTACAATAAATCAAAAAATCAGCCGGGCATGGTAGAACATGCCTGTAATTCCAACTACTCGGAAGGCTGAGGCAGAAGGATCGCCGGAGCCCAGCAGGTCGAGGCTGCGGTGGCCAGGAGCGTGCCACTGCACTCCAGTCTGGGCGACAGAGTAAGACTCCAACTCAAAAAAAAAAAGAATCCTTATTGCACAGATGGGAATCTAAAAGGAGAGACATGCACATAACCATTAATTATGTCCCCTGGCTTGATGAAGACCCAGACTTCATGGCCAAATTACACCTGAGTCACCTTCTGGCTCATTTCCTTTGAGTAACTACTAGACCTGCCATGGCTCCTCTTGATACAAGACTTTTCTCTTCAGTAGGTCTGTGGAACTCAATGGATTCATGGCATTCAGGGAACAGTACATGGGAATATCTGTGCCTCCACATTATCAATACATACCACACCTTTTTAGCTATTCTGGCCACTCGCCACTTCTGCCCCCACAAGCTCGCAGCCTGGATCCCCAGTCATACAGTCTGATTCACCAGCTGGTGTCAGCGGAGGACCTGGAGCCATTGGGCACGCCCATGTTGATTGAAGATGGGTGAGTAAGCTCTGCCCTGCTTGGCCCCTTGTAGTCTCAGAGTGTCCCTACCTACCTGCACCCCTGGCTGCTATACTTCCGGCTTAAAAATGAGTCAGGGATAATGACTCAAGCATCTGAGGAAAAATCTAGGCTCCTTAACAAGGCCCTAACAGGTTATGACCTATCTGCACCCCTAGCCAACATACCCATGAATAACCTGGTGGCATGTGACAGCTTTGGATGCATGCTTAAGTGGGTGTAAAGAATACTCTTTCAAGCCGGGCTCGGTGGCTCAGCCTATAATCCCAGCACTTTGGGAGGCTGAGGTGAGTGGATTTCCTGAGCCCGTGGGTTTGAGACCTGCGTGGACAACTTGATGAGACCTCATCTCTACAATAAATTTAAAAAATTAGCCGGGCGTGGTAGCACGCGCCTGTAGTTCCAGCTACTTGGAAGGCTGAGTGGAAGGATCACCAGAGTCCAGCAGGTCGAGGCTGCGGTGGCCAGGAGCGGCCACTGCACTCCAGTCTGGGCGACAGAGTGAGACTCCAACTCAAAAAAAAAAGAATACTCTTTCAGTCTTCAGTCAGCTTTACCTGAGTAGTTGATAGTTCAGCCTTCAGGCCCACCCATTGCTGTACCCATTATTCCTTTGGCCTAGAGCATGAGCTGTTTTATTGCTATCAAGTTTACCCCTCCCAGAAGTTATCGTGAGATTTCTTAAACTAGTATCCAGTTTCCAAAGAAGAGATTAAAATATCCGCCCACAAGAGGGTCACACAAAACCTTTATAAATCTGGACGTATGGGTGAGGAAAAGGGTCCATGAGAGGAGGAAAGCTGAGACCCTGAGTCTGTGGCCTCAGAGGCCCCTTTATCCTAGAGTTGAGAAATGCCCTGCTCCTTCTAGCCAGCATAGCTTAAAGGAAGAGAACAACTCTGGTTCCTGGACTCTCACCACCAGGGGGTGCAGTGAGAGCAGGAAAAGCTTCTGAACTTTCTCTGTTCTCTTCAGCCATCTGAACCAGAGGCTCATTTTTATGCCAGTCCTAGTATTGCGTGGGCTCTGGATCCACTCCACTAAAGTTCTCACAGAGCAGGAGTAGCTGGGATTTTCTCTCAAGATGTTGAACATTAGAGGATACCATCATTAAAAGTCATATTCCTTGATAATTGCACAAATTTCTAAGCCTCTTTTCCCTTCAGCAACCTTTTCTAATCAAACCTGCCTCTCCATCCCTAAACTTGCTGCTGACCTCCAGAATATTGAATCAAACAGAAGTGGAGATCCACTGGCAAGGAGCCCACTGCCAGAGACCCTTCATAACCTAGAAATATCCTCTCCCTGTGCCCTCATCCTCACCCTCTGGCCAGTGGAAGTGACTTTCCCCTGTCCCTACCCCCAGATATGCTGTGACACAGGCAGAGCTGTTTGCCCTGCTTTGCCGCCTGGCCGATGAGCTGCTCTTTAGGCAGATTGCCTGGATCAAGAAACTGCCTTTCTTCTGCGAGCTCTCAATCAAGGATTACACGTGCCTCTTGAGCTCTACATGGCAGGAGCTAATCCTGCTATCCTCCCTCACCGTTTACAGCAAGCAGATCTTTGGGGAACTGGCTGATGTCACCGCCAAGTACTCACCCTCTGATGAAGAACTACACAGGTGAGGACTCCTGGCTGGGGAGAAAATCCCAAGCAACCAAATCTGGGTCATCCCTGAAAGGCAAGGTTGCCTGGCCCTTCAGAGGACAGGCATTAAACCACATAGGCCTGGATTTGAATCCTTACTCTTCCACCAGCTAGCTTTGTGACCTTTGCCAAGTCTCTGATCCTTAGGTTCTGAGTTTATAAAATGGGGTGGTAACAATACCTCCCTAACAAGGTAGTTGTGAGGAATAAATATTGTAGTCAAGCTTAGCAGAGTGCTTGTTTTTGTTACTTCTGGATTACTGGAATAGATAATGTATCTGGGAAAAGCTAAAATCTAAACTCTGCCTACAAGAGAAGAGGGGCTCTGAACTGGGGTTAACAATCCAAGAAAGAGACCTAGGAGTCATTGTGGTACTTATTATGTGCCAGGCACTAGGCTCAATATTTTATAATGCCTTATTTCTTTATATCAACCTCTAGCATTATAAGTGTCATTATAGCTGTTTTATAGAGGAGAAAACTGAAGTTCAAAGACATTTGCCCTTGAAGGTTTTAGATTTTAATCCAGAACTTGGATTTGAGCTAAGGCCCACCTGATTGCAAAGCTTAGGCTCATTTATCTGAGATTCGGTGAGATGTTAAGAGAATGGGCCAGAGCTGGGCTCGGTGGCTCAGCCTGTAATCCTGCGTCTTTGGGAGGCTGAGGTGAGTGGATTGCCTGAGCCCGCGGGTTCGAGACCCACCTGGGCAGCGAGACCTCATCTCTACAGTAAATCAAAAAGAAATCAGCCAGGCGTAGTAGTGCATGCCTGTACTTGGAAGGCTGAGTTACTCGGAAGGAGCCAGCTACTCGGAAGGCTGAGGCGGAAGGATTGCTGGAGCCCAGCAGGCGAGGCTGCGGTGGCCGGGAGCGGCCACTGCACTCCAGTCTGGGCGACAGAGTGAGACTCCAACTCAAAAAAAAAAAGAGAATGGGCCAAAGAGACTGAGCTTTTCTTGTCATTTTCTGGCATAATGTTTTATCCCACTGGACAGTATTCCCTGGGCCTTCTTCCTTCCTGCTGCTCCACAGCCTGTCCAAGCTTTCTTTTTACTCACTCACAGATCTGGGGCACATGATGACCACATTTTGTGGCTCTCAAAGTCAGGACACATGATCTATTGAGACTTTTCTGGCTTGTTAATTTATCCATATAAAAGCTTTATAAGCTTAAATCATATTTAAGTTCATTTCAAGCCAGGCTTGGTGACTCACACCTGTAATCCAAGCACTTTGGGAGGCCTAGGTTAGAGGATTGCTGGAGTCCAGGAGTTCGAAACAAGCCCGGGCAACATAGCAAGACCTCGTCTCTACAAAACATCAGAAAATTAGCCAGGAGTGGTGATGAGTAGTCTCAGCTACTTGGGAGGCTGAGGAAGGAGGATTGCCTGAGCCCGGGAGTTCAGTGCTGCCATGATCTTGCCACTGCACTCTACCCTGGGTGACAGAACAAGACTCTGACTCAGATGGATGGATGGATAGTCATTTCGATAAATCACCTTTATTGGAAAGTTTAAAGTAATGGAAGTCAGGGGATTCCAGGGACCAAAAAGGAGGAAAGAAAGGATGCCTATCGATGAAAACTGGAGAGAGTACAGTACCAACCCTGTACTTTTTTTCACAGAACTGGGATGTACCTCTTTGCTGCCACCCAGTTGTGGCATAAAGACAAGCCAAGTCTCAAGCTGAGAGCAATGCTCAGGGCTTCAAGGTCCCTTTGTACAGCTGAGGGAGGGAGGAGTCTGGGTGCTGACTCCATCCCCTGGCTTTCTAATATTTCCTTATTAATGATGTTTGCTGGCTTCAGAGTGATCTACAAGTGGCAGAGTTTTGGACCCAGCTGACATTTTGTCCTGTAAGCAGAGCTATCTGATTTTACAGATGACCTAACCCCTTGACCAGAGCCTCTAATTCATTCTTTCCATCAAACTCCTGTCTCCTGCTCTATAACTCTGGGATGTAGGGGTGTTTGGATAGCAGTCAGCCTGCTCTGGTGTTGTCAGGGTTTGCAGACCTGGTCCAGGGAGCCCCAGTCCCCCTGTTTGCTTGGAATTTACTAGTTCAGCCTGAGGCTACCCATCACCAAGAGATGTCCAAGAGGAAACATCAATGGGATGTCAAACGGTGGGAATGACTGCAGGGTTTTTGGACTAGCCAAGCAGATGGGCACCAATTCTCTTGGCCAAGATAAAGGAGTCTGAAAACAAACAGGATGGGAGATGAGCCATTCTGAGTTTGGTTTGGGTGTCTGTGGAGTCTGACATGTATGTGGGATTGCCTAGGAAGTCATGGGAAATGAAAGCGCAAGAACCACTGGAGTCAGGTAAATCTCTGTAAAGCAGCACCCACTCTACTAGAAACACAGGATGTGGAGTCTGTAATTGGCCATAGTTCTTTCCTACCTTGCTTATTCCAGCCTTGCTCTCACTCCCCCAAACTGTCTTTACTTTTTCACAGCTCTTGAGCGAGAGTTCCTGTTGTCATGAGGCTTTTCCCAGATGATACATGACCACCTCCTTTTCTCAAATATTGAATCAAATTTATGGTGCCCATATTCCTTAATCAGACTGTTAACAGACAATGAGCTGGGTGAGTTTGATTTAAAGCAGGTTGTAGCACCAGCCAGTGACTGCTCCTGGCCCTAATCAAGACTCATTTACTCTCAGGAAAAGATGCTTTGAGCTACGTGGGCTTTAATGGGCGCTTCTATTTCATAAGCGCTAGCTCCCTTTCTGCCAGATCTCTGGAAAGTTCCCTTCCAGCTTCTCTGCCTGAACCCTAACCGTAGGCTCAGGAAACACAATCTTTTATATTTCTGCTGCAATAATGAGTGTGATGATGATGTTATTAATAATGATAATAGCTAACAATTTTAGAGTATTTACTGTGCCAAATTGCATCTTAAGTGCTTTACATAAGTTATTAGCTCCAACCTGGGCAGCAGAGTGAGACTCCAACTCAAAAAAATAATAAATAAAAATAAATACATGAGTTATTTGTTGAATACTCTATGATACCAGCACTAGTAATGTCCTTATTCTAGAGATAAGGAGCATGAGGTTCAGAGAGGTGAAAATTCAAGGCTACAAAACTACAAAGAAATGAAGTTAAGGTTATCATTTAGGTCTATTGTGCTCCAAAGTCCAACCTCTTTAACATTACTTTATACTAAATTCTTACTCTCAGAACTTTCTTAAAGGGTGTCGCTTTCTGAATTTTGTCTTGGAGCTACAGTCTTTTCATCTTGGAATCTGTATATGGGTGCTGAGATGGCATTTTCTCTATAGTTGTCGGTTAATGTCTACTCCTAGGGGTGGGTACATTTAGCTGAATGAAAAAGAGACAACTGAGTCTCTCAGCCCCCTTTGTAGGACATAACTTATATAGTGTCAGCTTCAATTGCTGCCTGAATGGTCCAGTGGTTTGGGGGATCCTGGCAGGAATGTTTTCCTTGTCCTAGCATGCTTGTGTAATAGGAACCTAGAAGAAGAATGGGTGTGTTTGTCCAGCTTTCTGGCTTTGAATGCTGATAATTTGTAGACAGGGAATACAGGGGCGTCAGAACTGTGGAGTGGGCAGATGTGGAGGAGGCACGGCTGCAGGAGAAAGCAGGCCCATGGAACAGAGAACAACTTTGTTTATCAAGGGATGGGATGCGGGGTGTGGAAGAAAGCTTTGCAGTCAGGCTGTGGAGATTGAGTGGGGGCCGCTGGGCTGACTGCCAACCCTCCCCCCACTGCTGCTGGGGGTCCATGATGGCTCCTGCTGTAATAAATTTAGAAAAGAGGGATGTGCTGTCCCCAAGAGAAAGGGTAGATCTGGGGCATGTGCACAGGCCAGGCGCTTAGGAGCTCTTTTGTGTCGTTCAGGTCACCACTCAGCCAGGAACAGGCTTGGCACTGCTGGGTAGGGGTCTGGCTGATAGCCACACACCTGCATGTCCTGCAGTGCCAGAGTGAGCACTTGGGACAAGAGGTTAAAGGACAGAGCATTTTCTTTGCTTGCTACACTGCTCGGCCACCAGACAGATGCTGACACTGCTTCTCTTCTTGCATCCTCTTTTTTTATGTCCTACCCCCATTTAATTCCCACTCCTCCAAGTAGATATGAAGGGAATTGGCAGTAAAAACTAAAACTTTTAGCTGGGCTCGGTGGCTCAGCCATTAATCCTGCGCCTTGGGAGGCTGAGGTGAGTGGATTGCCTGAGCCCGTGGGTTCAAGACCCGCCTGGGCAACTTGGCGAGACCTCATCTCTACAATAAATCAAAAAATCAGCCAGGTGTGGTAGCGCGCGCCTGTAGTTCCAGCTACTTGGAAGGCTGAGGCAGAAGGATCACCGGAGCCCAGCAGGTCGAGGCTGCGGTGGCCGGGAGCGGCCACTATACTCCAGTCTGGGCGACAGAGTGAGCCTCCAACTCAAAAATAAATAAATAAAACTTTTTTCCCTCTCAAAGAATATAAGTAGCCAACAGAGTACTATGATGAGGCGTGGTCTTCACTCTCAGGCACACTGCCTCCTGCAAGTCTCAGCATTAGGGAAGGACTGCAGGAACAATTCTGTGTACTGTAGCAAACCTATCAACCTCTGAGTTGCTATGGGATCACAGAGCTCCTGAGGTCCTCAGTTAGCAGTTAAGAACGAGACAGGATCAGGGGTGGGCAGTGTAGTACTACTGAGAAAGGCCCAAAGGCTTGGAATTAGAAAATGTAAGTGTAAACCTTGACTTCACCACCACTTACTTACTCTGTAACCTTGGGAAAGTCACCTCTTTTTCTGTTTCCTCATCCCTAACAGGGAGGTGACAGTATTTATCTCCCAGTTTATCAAAGGAATAAAATGTAAGCATGCATGTGTACGTAATAGAGGCACAATAAGTAGCTTCTTTGAACCGTCAATTCCACTTATAAACAAAGGAGATTATTATTAATATCCATTTTGTGGATTTATTAGCAGTATCCAGTAAAATAATGTATGTGGAATAAAGTCTCCAGCAGGTAGCAAACACTCAGTAAATGGTGTAACAACAAAAGGTTGTTACAGTGGTTATTCAATATGGATTTGACTATCAGCCAGTCTGTGAATGTATCGATAAAGTTGTAAAAGCCATAGGGAACTGGACACGGTGCACATGCCACACCTGTAGTCCAAGTCAGCCTTCATATCTCAAATCAGCAAACTGAAGAAACACTGCCCACCCCTGATCCTGTCTCGCCTCAGACCGGGAACCATGCCATGAGGCAGAGAGGTCAGAGTTTCAGATTGCAAGTAATTGGTGTGCATGGGAGATTGGTTTCAGGACCCCTGATGATACCAAAATCTACAGATGCTCAAGCCCCTTACGGTGCTATTTGCATTAAACCTGTGAACATCCTCTCATATACTTTAATCATCTCTGAATTACTTATATTATCTAATACATAAATGCCATGTAAATAGTTGTTATAGTGTAGTTTTAAATTTTGTATTATTTTTTATCATTGTATTGTTTTTTTAAAAAAACATTTTTTGATCCATGGTTGGTGGAACCTGCAAGTATGGAACCTTTGGATACTGAGGGCTGACTGTCCCTGTTGTTGCAGCTCCCCTTGGTACTTGAGAAATACGAGTATCTCTGGCCCTAACCAGAGCCAGGTTTTCCCCAGGGAAGAGAAAATGTCCTGCATGCCCAGGAAGCCAAAACCTAGCAAAGCCTTCACGGTTAATGCAGAAAGCAATGAAGCCCAGAAAGCAGTAGTGCATCCCCAGGGGTGCTGAACCTTATCCAGATGGTCTTCTTGGCCTGGCACAGGGCTATAGTGCCCAGATTTGAAGCAGCCCTGGGGCAGAGCATCTTCTCTCTATGACTGAGTTGTCCAGCCTCCAGAATGACTTAGATTGGGCTTTTAAAAACTTCTGCTTTCCCATTAAACGTTTGCCTTGGTTTGATGGTGTCTCCATCTCTGGTATGATGTATACCCAGAACATTAGTTCCCTAGGATGGCCTAACTTAGGACTCCTTTGCATAAAAGTTGGTCTTTCTCCAAGAAGCTTACTCCTAACCCAAAGAAAGGAGCATGGCCAGCATTGGGCCTCCTCTGCTAAGGGATGCCACCTTAGATATCGGAAAAATCAAGGCCTTGGAGAGTTAGCCCAGGTTCTAACTCTGCCACTAGCTAGCTGTGTGCTTGTGAGCCAGTCCCCTCCCTTCTTTGAACTTCAGTTTTTCATCTGTTCGATGGTGATGATTATTTCACCTAGCTCATAGGGTTGAAAGAATTTAAATAATGCATATAAAGTGCCCAGTGCATGGGCATGGAAACTTGATTGTTTCCCTCTTTTCCCAAGCTGAAGTCAAGGATGCCAATAACAGTTTTCACTATGTGTAACCTCAGCCCTTCTGGAAATAGTGAATCTGGGTACATACAGTCAGCTTTTCTCCAGTGTGGCAGGAGCTCACCGTAACAGCTGCCATTGATACTAGAGGCTGCATCTCAACAATAGCAGTATCTTAATAACGTCACATTTCTCTACATTCACATTCCAAACTTCCTTTGGCCCTTTTTATTCCAAGCAGGCAAGCATTATCATTTTACAGAGGAGACCACAAAACTTGTGAGAGAGGTAGATTTTAACCTAGATTTGATTGACTCTGCCTCACTTGGGAACAACAGTTTGCATGAGCTGCATTGGCTGTAGACAAACCTTGAATCTGTCTGTATTTTACAAATGACTCTGGATACCACTTCCCCAAGCTCAGCCTCTTTCCTATAATCGTTACTGTAAGGAGCTATAGGAGCCCCCGTCTGCTCTTTCCTGGCCTCCACCGATAATCTGAGTCTACTGTTAACACCTGTATCTGTTCCTCAGATTTAGTGATGAAGGGATGGAGGTGATCGAACGGCTCATCTACCTGTATCATAAATTCCATCAGCTAAAGGTCAGCAACGAGGAATATGCTTGCATGAAAGCAATTAACTTCCTAAATCAAGGTGAGTGGTTGGTGGTAGGAAAGGGACTTTTTCATTTTTTTGGTCAGTGAACATTTGCCCTCCTGTTTTACCCTTCTTTATCTTCAGGACCACCCCCCAGAATCTACCACATGATGTGGGTACCAGTCTTAGAAGTCCTATGCTGCTCCTTGTTATCACCCTCCCCCTTTACAGTGCAGGGAATGCTTTGGATTTTTTTTTCCTTTAAACCTAAATGCCACACTCCCTATAACTCATAGAGGAAGGAAGAGAATTCTCTTTGTTTAGTCACTTTTAATGCACTTAAACACAGACATCAAGGACAGTACATGCGTCATTTAAAATATGTACCAAGTTTACCAGCACCGAAGAAGAGCAGAGTGACTGATGAAACTATTGGAGATAAGACCTCTGTGACAGGCTGGCAGTGGTTCTGACAGCCCCCTCAGGACAGAGTGGGGCGTACAAACACACACACATACACACACACGCACACACACACACACAAACAAGCACACATCAAGCATGGCTTTTTAATTAGAAGAGTGCCGGATGTGATTTATGTGGAGTATTACCTGCAAAATGGTGCTTGGTAGCTGCTGGTAACTGGCATAGGAAGGAGAATTTGTATTCTTTTATCCAAAGTAGCATATGAGTGCTCTACTCCCAGAGTGGAATAGACTATTTTACTGCCTGTGGCACCAAAAGTGCTCTCTTCCTGTGTTCAGTTTTCTAGTCCAGAGACTCTTGATCTCCTCCTCTTTGCCTGTTCTCCCCCTGCACTGACCAAACTTCCTGCTGCTTGTACACTATTCATGCATTTATTTGGTGTTCTGCATGCCTCCCTTAAGCCAAGCCCAATGCGGAGAATTAAAGACACTAAAACCTTAGGTCCCTGGCCGTAGGAAATACACACTCTGATGGCACTTTATACATTACTTGTACCTCAGATGGGGGAAGATTAGTAGCAACTTTTTGGAGGAGAAGAAATCTGAGATGGGCCTCAAAGACTGGGTAAGATTTATATACAGAATATTTATACTCATATTCTACATATAAAAAAGATATTTTTTATTTATAGAGAGATAGCACAGAGAGAAATCTATATAGAAAAAAAATGGAGGAACACCCCAGGAAGAATATGAAGAGCAAAGGCACATGGCATACGCATGTGTGCGTGTATGTGGTATTGGTAAGGTTTCTGATTGGTTCCAACAAAGGGCAAATTTAAAGGTATTGTGAAGGCTAAATTTGGAAAGGTATGTTCATCAGTCATTTATTCAGCATTTCACTAGTACCTGTTTTGTGTCCAGCCCTATTTTGGGAACTGGATATGAAGTTGAAAAAGACAACCTAGCCCTCAAGGGGTTCACTTTAATTACTATCTTCTATATTATTTTTTTCTTCTCTATCATATTTCTCTCCCTTATCCAGAGCATAGGGCCTCCATATCAGAAAGAGAAATGTCCTGCTGTGACAGTGTTTAATAACTTTTCACTGAAAGATGCACATATTTAAGGATTTGGTGTTTCTTCCACATTAGAAAGCCCCTCTCATTCCCTGTTTGTTTTTTTGTCTCACCCCTACACACAGATATCAGGGGTCTGACCAGTGCCTCACAGCTGGAACAGTTGAACAAGCGATATTGGTACATTTGCCAGGATTTCACTGAATATAAGTATACACATCAGCCAAACCGCTTTCCTGATCTCATGATGTGCTTACCTGAGATTCGATACATTGCAGGTAATATTCTGGGTCTGGGGCTTCCAGTTCCTCCTTGCTTTCCTTAGCTTGTGAAGGGAATGAGGCAGCAGTGTTTTCAAGATGCTCATTCCACCCTATCATCAACTGCAAAAATGTTACTACTTTTTGCTGTCAAAAAAGTTGTGTTGTAATGAGAAATTTGTGTTTTCTTTGTAGAGAAGAGAAATGAACACATCCTGAGCTGCTTTGATATGCTGGGTGCTTTGTGGTCTTATATCATTTTATCTTAGACCAACCCTTAGAAGGCTGGTGGTTGGTGATATTATGGCCATTCTATGGATGGTGAAATGGAGCTTAGAGTATCTCAAATTAACTTCATTTCTTGAATTGTATACTTTAAATGTGTAAATTTTTTTGATATGTGAATTAAATCTCAATTTTTTCTTTTTGTTGAGTTGGAATCTCACTCCATCGCCCAAGCTAGAGTACAGTGGTATGCTCATGGCCACCCCAGCATCGACCTGCTGGGCTCTGGCGATCCTTCCACTTCGGCTTTCCAAGTAGCCAGAACTACAGGCACGCACTACCATGCCCAGCTTATTTTTTGATTTGTTGTAGAGATGAGGTCTCACCATGTTGCCCAGGCTGGTCTCGAACCCATGGGCTAAGGCAATACTCTTATCTCAGCCTCCCAAGTGCTGAGATTACAGGCTTGAGCCACCATGCCCAGCCTAAATCCCAATTTTAAAAATTAACTTCATTTAACAGAATTGCCCATGGGCTTTCAGGGACTGACCATTTGTTTAAAGTGATATCTTTAAAAATCCTGTTTTGGGCAACCCCTTCGGGTCCCCTCCCACTGTGGGAGCTTTTCTGTCCTCTCAATAAATCCTGCTTTCTCACTTTCCGGCTGTCTGTGTCCCTCATTCTTCCTGGGCACGAGACAAGAACCCTGACCTGAAGAGCTGCGAAGATCATCAGAGCTGAAGAGTCATGCACCCCAGAGGCTGGCTTGCCAGCCGATGGAATTGGCTGAACCAGGAGAGCTGCTGGAAGAAGGCAAGACTCTGAAGCTGAGACACTCCGGGGGATAGGCTTGCCAGCCCACTGAAGCAGTAACACTCTCAGGGATTGACTTGCCAGCCCATTAGAGCCAGCAACACTCTCAGGGCTTGGCTTGCCAGCCTATTAGAGCCAACACTTCCGGGGCTAGGCTTACCAGCTCCTTGAACTGACCCTCTCTGGGGCTCAGCTGGCTGATGCTGTTAAAGCCCAGGCTGACCTGAAAAATCTGTATCACCAGCTACTCAGGAGACTGAGGAGGAAGAATTGCCTGAGCCTAGGAGGTTGAGGTTGTGGTGAGCTGTGATCGTGCCACTGCACTCCAGCCTGGGCAACAGAGTGAGACCCTGACTCAAAAATATTAAAATAAATATTTAAAAATAAATAAGTAAAATCCTGTTTTTAGGCTGGGTGTAGTGGCACATGCCTTTAATTCTAGCATTTTGGGAGGCTTACACAGGAAGATTGCTTGAACCCAGGAGTTTGAGACTTGTCTGGGCAATGTAGCAAGACCTCATTTCTACAAAAAATTTAAAAATGGGTTGGACTTGGTGGTGCGTGCCTATAGTCCCAGCTATTTAGAAGACTGAGGCAGAAGGATCACCTAAGCCCAGGAGGTCAGGGCTGCAATGAGCTGTGAATGTGATACTGCATTCCAGCCTAGGCAACAGAGCAAGACCCCTATTCAAAAAAATAATTAAAATAAAATCCTGTTCTTGGCCGGGTGCAGTGGCTCATACCTATAATCCCAGCACTGTGGCAGCCTGAGGCAAGGGGATCGCTTGAGCCCAGGAGTTTGAGACTAGCCTAGGCAACATAGCAAGACCCTATCTCTACAAAAAAAAATTTTTAATTAGCAAGGTGTGGTGGCATGTGCCTGTAGTTCTAGCTACTCGAGAGGCTGAAGCAGAAGGATCACCTGAATCCAGAAGGTCGAAGCTGCAGTGAGCTGTGTTGGTGCCACTGTACTCTAACCTGGGTGACAGAGTGAGACCCTGACTCAAATAAATAAATACTATTTTTGCGAAGGAAATTTTGTGTATGCATGTGTGTATGTGTTTGAATGTGATCTTGACCCCTTCTGAGCTTCTTGACATTTAAATAGCTCCATCTCAATATAAATTTCTGGCTTTTTTTTGTTGTTGTTGCTTTACTTCATTTAGTAAAGATTCATGTTTATAGCTGTCCAGGGTATACTGAGGGGCAGCTCAGAGTGTGACCTCTAGATTGGGATTGTTCCTGTAAAACTCAGCAGTATACATTTTCTTTATTCTACAGAAAGACATTCCAGGGAAAGTAATACAACTATTGAAGGAAAAAAGTTCAATCTGGTGGGAATTTTTTGCTACTTCTTGGGCCACAGAGCAGGCTAGCAGATGTGAGCTGGACCTAAACTACTGGAATTTTAGAGATATTTTGATAGTTTGTCTCAGCATTTTCTGAACTATCTTCTGCTAAGTGAGATACTAATCAGAAGCTTTGTGAAATAGAGGGAAACCATAGAGCTGAGTTCTCAATCCTAGCTGCACTTTCAGTCACCTGGAAAGCTTTATAGAAATACCAGTGTTTGGGTTGTACCTCCAGAGATTCTGATCTGTTTTGGGGTGGAGCCTGAGCATCAGTATTTTTAAACCGCTGCCCAGGTGACTTTAAGGTGCTGTCGGGGAGAAGAACCATAGTCTTAGGTATTTACAAAGTATATTCCCTGAGAAGTCCTTCAATAAAGAAATCTGTATAACTTTTTTTTTTTTTTTGAGTCAAGGTCTTACTCTTTTGCTCAGACTGGAGTACAGTGGCACAATCACAGTTTACCACAATCTCGACCTTCTGGGCTCAGGCTTGCCTTCTGCCTCAACCTCAATAGTAGCCGAGATTACAGGTGTATACCACAACACCCAGCTAATTTTTTAATTTTTGTGTAGAGACAACATCTTGTTATGTTGCCCAGGCTCATCTCGAACTCCTAGATTCAAGTGATCCTCCTACCTCGGCTAAAGTGCTGAAATTACAGGCATGAGCCACTATGCCCAGCCTGTAAAACTCTTTTATCCTTGAATCTTTCATCTTTATTTGTCCCTGTGACCCTCTTGTCCTTTTTTCCCAGGACTTTTTAAGCCGACTATACTATTCTGAAGTACAGTGTGTTATAGAATGCTAGTTGGAGAATCTACCAGGGGAAAAAAAAACAGGATATAAGTTTGTTGTGGTATTTTAGCTCTAAAAAGTCACCTAGGAGTGCCTCTCTATTTCAAATTTCTCATCTATAAAATGGGGGTAATTTCTCACAGAGACATTGTAAGAATTAAATGAGATAGTGCATTTAACCACCTGGCACCGAGTAAGTATTCCCTGAAAGTAGAATGATTATGCGTCGGCACCGTTACTAGGCCCCCTAGGGCATGAAGATAGGTCTGGATGTCAGGACACTAACCCAGACTGACCTTTGTGATGTTTCTGGCCCTTCTCCTGCCCCAGTTTGCTCATCAAGGCGCTACTCAACCTCTACCAGCCTGGGAAGAGGAAGGCTTGCCCTTCTGCTAGTGGCCACTGCTAACTCTTTTCCTCTACCTTGTTTCCAGGAAAGATGGTGAATGTACCCCTGGAGCAACTACCCCTCCTCTTTAAGGTGGTGTTGCATTCCTGCAAGACAAGTGTGGGCAAGGAATGACCTGTTCACAGCATCCTCCTCGGGCCAACCACAACGCCTCTGGTGGGCAGGATAGGCTCTGGAGGGAAAAGCCAGAGAGACCAAGATGGAGGCTGTGAAGCAGCATTTCCAGTTGCCTCCATAGCAAGAAGAGTTTTTGTTTGTTTGTCTGTTTTTTAACCTCATTTTTCTATATATTTATTTCACGACAGAGTTGAATGTATGGCCTTCAACATGATGCACATGCTTTTGTGTGAATGCAGCCGATGCATTTCCTTGCAGTTTACAGAATGTGAAGATGTTTAATGTTACAGTGTTGTCCTTGTTTAGAAATAGTTCTTTTGTATTTTGAGGGAGAGGGTGGGATGGGGCTGAGATGACTATTTCCATAATGTTGACGAAGATGACTACCTCAATGGAAATGGGGGATGTGAACATCCCTACTTTTTCCACATTTCTCAGCAGACTCATACATTTGTCTGTCAGAGAGCAAACTGCCTTTTTCTAGCCGCAAAATTGCCAGGTAAAAGAGCACACTGTGAAGGGGCAAAGTGTTGTTAGGAGATTTACTAAGCAAGATTGGTGAGATGTTGGGAACAAGGCAGGAGATGAAGACTGAGCCATCTCTTTTCTTTGGAAAGCATGAAAGTTGAAAGAATAGGGCACAGTGACCAAATCTAAGGCAGATGTCCTCCTACCCTACAAGTCCTAAGGGCAGCAGTTCTCTGTTCTCTCACCCCTGCTGTCCCTCTTACCTCCTGTACCACCACTATCAGTTTCTACCACTGTGAACTTTTCATATAGGCAAAGTCTCAGAAATAAGTCAGTCTACAGGATTGGCTTACCAGCTCCTTTGGGACTCACAGCTACCTAGTTTCCTTACCTGGACCTCCTAAGGCCTGCCTTCCTCAGACTCCTTCCCTCTCTCTTATAAGTTTGACTTCCTGTCAGCCTTTTGATAAAACACCTAAGCAGAATGCCATGTTCTGAGTTTTGGTGCCCACTACAGCTTTATTCTCTTTTCACATTGCTTTCTTCAAAGGAGAGTAGGACAAAGACCAGACTGGATCAATGAATAAACACTCCTCCTCCTCTGTTCTCTCCCCACCCCATCCCACCACACCCCCAGATCTGAATCTAAGAACAGTCAATTTTTTAATAGAGGAACCATTTACCCAACTGCTGACCAGACATTTTGCCCCTAAATTCTACTCCAGATTCTCCTAATCGCTCCAGAATGAGACCGGGTTTTCTCAGGGCCCCAGAATAGAAAGCCCAAGGCCCAGAGTGACTTCACTGCCCCTTATAGTATCAGTGGCCTGGCCAACCAAAGCCTGGAGGGCTGGACCAAAAGCACCTGGAAGGGAAGGGAGGGCTTTAAACTACCTCATGTTCCTAAGGGCCTGGCTGCTACCTCTGCAGATGTGGCCTGGACCCCTTGTTCTTTCACTACCTGCCCCACCTTGTCCCTGGAAGTGTCCTTACCTCTTGACTTTGGCCAGTGGCCACACTAGGTCTGTCTTGGAACTTTCTGGTGCTTTTCACTATTTTAGTACAGTAGTTGTCCCTGCCCACACCTAGGTATCTTCTGCAGCCAGTGCAGCAGGCAGACCACTTAATTGGGTACATGCCTGGGTGGATTTGAAGGCCCACAGCACCTGCCTCTCCCAATTTAGTCAAAGCCTGTTTGCTCTCTTCCAAACTCAGCCTAGTAAACTACCCAGGGGCTACCACATTGTGTGTACATTGAGTATGCACACAGTGTGGTCTGACTGTAGTTTTTTTCTTTCTGGTGAAATGTTATGGGTACCAGCAGAGTGATGATTTTTGTCCCTTGATGGATCTAAAACTAAGAGCATTACTCCTCAATGCCTTTTTCCTAACTGCTCTGGGAAAGAAAGAAGAGACATGTTCCTCAGGAAAAGCTTCAACTAGCATATTTTTTCATGTCAGTGGGAAGATTATATGTGTGTATGTGTGTGTGTGTTTATTTCTAAGTTCACAATATTTTTCTTGTTTCCCTGAATTTTTTATTTAACCAGTTAGATACGTTATTTGGCCACAGGTCAGACTCCAAGCTGTATACCTCAAGATAGGGAAGGAGACACATCAGAGACCCTTTCTCTAAAACAACTCCTATGTGCAGCATCTTTCTTTGCTTAGACCTCCATCTGTCAAATTATTATGTTTGAAATTGCTTTCCAAATTAAACATTTTACCTGTTGTGTTGGATATCAAAGGAAATTGCTCTCTGATGAGGCAAGAACATGCCTATCCAATAATATGGTATTAAACAGAGCAAGTTGTTAATTTATGGAGTGGGGGAAAGGTTCTGCAAGTTGCCATTGTACAAATCCATTTTTACAAATGTTTGCAGCAGATTCCCCAGAACAAAGAGCCCATTCATTGCCAAGAGCCCTGCAGAATCTCTGAGCCAAGTGGCCGCGTGTTCCAAGCCGGAGCCTGACCTGTGGACTGCCTTTAATGTCTTCTGCACCCAGTCCTTTTATGACGTGGGCTTTTTTTAAACAGGGTAAAGTGAATATGTTGCATTGCAAACTCAGGTATTATGAGGAGAAGGTAGGAGTGTAGCTAGCAGCGTGGAGACATTAGGTCAACCACTAGATGTATTTGTGAATTTGGTTTGAAGGACACAGAGAAAGGTTGGAGGGGGAGGTTTGGTATGTTTGTTTTTGCCTTTCTTCCCATAATGTTTGGTTAACAGGTAGCCTTTTTGCTAGTGGAAGAAGAAAAAAGTTGTGTGTGCTGTCTCTAATTCCTCTCTTCTGTCCTCTCGCTGATCCCCAACCACCAGAAGCACTCACTTTGAGAATTTTTCCACCATAAAAATGTGACCCTGGAAGCTCTGTGGAAAAGAAGAATCCCACCTCCTTGCACTGCATTGAAATATACAAGCTTTTCCCTGTCTTTCCTTTTGAATGTTTTCTTGACCTAAGACAAAAGTTTGGAATCTTGGAAACTTCATCTGTAATTCATGCTCTCTTGCTCCCTTTGTAGACTTTTGGAGTCCTTTGCAAAGTTTGGTGGTCTTGCCTTTAGTCTGGAGAAACTCCCCAGAATTTGTCTAGGAGCACTCCACCTGGCTTAGAGAATACTCAGCCCCCATGCCCGACCCACAAGTGAGGTGGGCAAGCCTCCAGGGATAGAAGGAAACAGGCAGGAACCTCCCTGTCCTCTTCCCCAGAACCCGAGCATCACTGCATGTTACCCACTCCACAGCAACCTGCTTGTTACCTTCCACCATTTCTCAGGGAAGTGAGTACCTGCCATGGTCAAAGTTACCAGATCCTTAAAACCCTGGGCTCTCTGAGCTAGCTGCATTGCTCTACCACCCGTTTCCTGCATTTGTTTGTAAATTCCCTGGGGGAATGGGACAGATGGAGATAGACAAATGTAGTGTGGGCAACATCTAAGCCATGTCCAAGGTCGGCCAGTGTAAGGGAATCCTGGCCTTCCAGCAGGACAAGCAGCTGAGCAGTGGTTCCAAGCTTTAGCTCTGGACCCCTGGTCTATGTCTTTTTTCCTTGTTGCTTTTTAAATTTTTGCAATTGTTTAAGAAATACAGTCTTTTAGACCAGCTCTTCTATTAAACTTTGAATTTTTCTTTATTTTTTAAAAGTAAAAAAAAAAAAAAAAAAAAAGCTAAAAAAAACCCACAAAAAAACACTACTCTCCCTCCCCTCCCTCTCCCTGCCCCAATCCACAAGAGATCCCCTGCACTGCCCTCTGCCTTTGCAATTGATCATCCCTTTTTCCTCGGCTTGAAGCATCTGTGTACAGTGTCTATAAAATGATGTCTTATCTGTGTCTCAGGATGAAAAACGGCAATCATTCCACTAGGTGCTGGTAACTGGTTAGCCTTGAGGCAAGGGTTTCTAGGGCCACAGCTCAGGGATGTGTATTTAATTACAGGGTCCCCAGAAACTCCTCTCTTGGCTGCCACAAGCAACATCTTTCCTGGGCTTAGGAGCTAGACCTGGACTGTTTCCCCAGAGGTGGTAACCCCAGAGAGTCTGCTGAGTCTGGAAGCAAGCTGGGCTTCCTCTTTGGCCAGACTTGGGCTGCCTTGAGACTTGAAGACTTTTGGTTTTCTGCACATATGAGACGCAGAGTCCCTGCCTCTACCAGCTCATAAGAGGCCTGATCCCTTTGTCCAGTCCAGTCTTCAGTTGACCTCCCTCTTCTGGGTCTGCAGCCCTAAATGGGGCAACAGCCTGCACAGGAATCAACTGCAGGCTCAAAGGGGAGCTGTGAGTAATGCCAGATCTCTCTCCAAGCCCAAGAAAAAAAGTTGTGTTACTAGTGGAGGCTAGTCTTAATGTATCTTGCCAGCCCTGAGCCCTGCCGTCTTTGCTCTTTGGTGACCATTGTTTTCTTTCTCTGAAATGTCTTGTAATAGGTGATAATGTTGTTGACTCAAATTTCCATGAAAAAGAAAAAAAAAACTACCTCTTGAGTGACATCCTGGTCGATTCCTCTTTGAGAGATCCTGTGGGAAAAGAATATTGTAGCTCTTGCTCTGTTTACATGTTTCTGTCGGGAAAGAAACCTCGCCTGCCCTGGGGTGTTGGTGTTTTTGTCTGTGTTGCCATCCCAGGCCTGTGATAGGGGCTTGTGGCTGCACTGTAATGTCTGTGCTATGTCTGGGGACTCCTTTCCTATCCAGCCAGGGACTACCCACCCCTTGAAGAGGCCTCTATTTACCTCCTGTGCTCCAAGACACAGGGAGCACCACCTCCCACAAACACCACCTCTAGGGGATCTGGTGGCACATGTATCTATGAGCCTACCCCCTGGGCTACCTACCCTAGGCCTGTCTCCAACCACAGTCCTGTGTAGGAATCGAGTAAATGCGATGTCTATGAGCCCTTGTCCCCAAAGGGCCGGCCAAGGGCTGCCCGCCAGCCTGATTCCATCAACCCTGCATATCCAAATGATAGTTGGCGGGCTATGCAGGTTACCCAGGCCCTCTGCTACCTCCCACCCTTGCCAACTGGCAAGGGATGAACCCTGTTCTGTGAATTGACTACCTGTGGAAATGTGACCAATTAGTGTGAAATGCATGTTTAGCAAGTTTTAGGTACTGTATTTGAACCAATAAATGTGAATCCTTCTGCACATGGCACCTGTCTATGAAGCTTGTCTGGGGTTCTGGGGAAGGATGATGGCATGTCCTTAGGAGCTGGCTTGTGCCTTCAGACCTGTTGCTCCTGCTCCTGGCTGACACCAGCCTCAGTTCTTATTGCTGAGGGTCTAGCAGGGTGGTCTCTCAGAAC